GAACGGACGGCTTCGAATTCGGGCTCTTAATTGGTATCACAACATACCCATCGGGTCTAAGTGTGCCTCTCTCCCATGAGGAATGTAGGCAGCCGCTTCAACCTAACCTAGGAAACCCTACAAAAAAAAAAAAAAAACTGACCAATTCACATAACCTCTACGAGAGAGAATGTGCTTAATGGCGTCCGCTGTGTGGTATCATGGTAGTTTGATGAAGTGACTGATATAGGTAACACGAAAATTACATCGCCGCCAGCGAGCACCGAAATCTACCGGCGCCAATTCACTCATAGCTTCAAAGTTATTGCAGAAAAAACTGAAACCAGCTCAAAATACACGCAAAAGTTTCACACAACATTCACTGAAAACCTGAAGGCCTCAACCAGTTCAATGTCCTGTCGCATTACTTTAAATAATATGTCTATTAAATACTGTATTTATTTTAATAACTTTTTACTTTTGCTTCAAAACTTTTACTTTACACTAAATTTGTGTAGTTGTTTTTAGGAGCATCTCTATAAGCACTAAAAACAAAAGCACTTCATTTAACTGAATTTAAATTACTCTTCTTGTGGGATATTTTTTTTTAGAAAATTCTCGCGTTTTAACTTTAGCAAGCCACTTTAACCCAGAATCAAAATATCTTAATTTTTACGTACCTCATTTTATCGTAATTTCAAATTGCAAATTTTATGTTTTTCTCCACTTTTTGGGTGGGGCTTACGCATTGTTTTTATTTTTTGCTTTCTCCTAAATTTGAAATACTCAAATGCATAAAATTCAATACATTTATGTCATAGGCAATTTATCTTTGAATTTCCATCACTTAACGTCTCTATAATGCGCTCGGGGTATTTTGTTCTAATCTAACAAATTAAATAATATACTATAAATGATGACAATAATACATATGTAGGTAATAAATTCATTATTTTCAGTATTTTTCGTTTTTTTTTTGTAGCATTTTCGAGAACACCTTACATAAAATATTTAAATAAATCATCTATTTTTATTATTATTATATTTTGTATAACCGGTCTGCTTTGTTTAATTAAATTTTTAATTTATTCTTGTTACGGTTTCTTTGACACTTTTGTTGTTGTTGTTGTTGTTGTTGTTGTAGTTTACTTTGTTTTAGTTTATTTTTTGTTTCATTTGGTTTAAGTATTTTCGTACAATTAGATAAGGCAACGTCATTTGTTCTGTTTTTGTAAACATTTTTTTTTGTTGTTTGATCTGAAATCTTATTTCTCGGAATATCTGAATTTTGAAAATTTTCATTGAATTACTAATTCTCATCGAATTGTTTTGTAAACTGCATTTTGGGCTATTGCTTGGTGAGTGTGTGTGTGTGAGAGAGTTTGTTGTTGCGTTAATCGGATTTCGTTTATGCCGCCAGACTTGCACAATCTATTTCAGTATTTTTTGTTATACATTTCGAATAATACATTTTGTTTTCCAAACAAAAACATTTAGTACATATAATGATAATTGCCAAACACGTAAATTTTGACTCCTAAAAACAACAAAAATGTTTATCATATATTTTTTTTTGCATCTTGCTTCCATGAAATTCATTTTTTGCATTAGTTGCAAAATTTTTCCATTTTTGATTTTTTGACGTCGAAATATTAATTGTAATTTACATTTAATTTGATAGTAAATTACTAAGTTTAGAAAATCGTATAATTTTGTATTTTCTTGTATGTAGTATATTCATAGTTGGTTGTGGTAACTGTTAATTTTGTGGCCGAAAAATGAATGCAGTTTATTGCGAGTTGTGAGTTTTTTTTTTGGTAAATTGGAGGGAAATTCAAAAAAAAAAGTTATAAAAATAAATTAGGCAATATGTGAAATAGGGCATTAGGGTGGTTCACAAAAAAGTATGAAAATCCAAATTATGTATGCGGCACCCATTTATTTTGTCCAAAATAATGACTAACACGAAAATTTCTAAATTTATGAAAAAATGTTTAGGGCCCGCTTCCAAGGTTTGAGGAAATTGAAATCTCATTAAGTTTATATACATGAAAAAAAAAATCATATACATATATCGTGGCCATTGGTAAAGGATTCATCGTGATTGCATGCTCCAAAAACCGTAAGTTGTTTAAATTTATTTCGGAATTAGTGATGTCTCGATACTTGTACTTGCATACTCGATACTTTTTCGAGTTCGGTACTTGGTATCGACACTTCGCTATAAGTATCGATCACCGTAAATTGATTCCACATTGTCAAAGTACGCCCTGTTAATTTCAATCTGCCGTTATTTTTTTGTGTCACTTTGCTTGTCACTGCTGAGTTTGATTGATTTTGAAAAGTTCGAGATTTTTGCAGTGTCCCTAATATCTTCTGCTCGGAAAACATTTCGAAAAAGTTGACTCCAATAAACTTGCAGTGCAACAAATTGCATCATCTAGTCCTTGCGAAAGAATTTTCTTGAAAGCAGGAAATACCGTAAAGACACAGAAAATAAACCGTCTATCAGACTTATTTTTTTTGCTAGATATGGTAATACAAGAAATGTAAAAATGTTAATTTTTGTGCATTTTTGTTTGTTAAGCTCAAACTATGTTAAAAAAGGAATTTCCGTTCATTAATATCAATAAAAATCTTGACTGATCTTTATAGTTTAAATTTCTTACTCGATACTTGAAAAGGCACGATATTTTCTACCGACATTTTTTCAGTTCTCGATACTTTGTTCCGATACCAGAAACAAGTAAAAGTATCGATACCAAGGTGGTATCCAATAATCACTATTTGGAATTTTTTACTATATAAAAAAAAAAAATAATAATTAATAATAATTATTTTTTAAATTTTAACCAAAAAAAAAAATGAACAAGTTGTAATCGTCGTAAAACAATTTTATTTATACACACGTATTTGTTTTCGTACGTCCCACTGTAATTTGCAATGATTTTTTTTTCGAGTTTAACCAATAAAGATTAAAAGTAATAATTAATATTTGAGTTTTAATTTTTCGCACAAAAGTAACTATTATTTCGCTCAAAGAAAATAATTATTACTGAGTAAAAAGCTATACCAACGCGATTTCCGCCGTATGCTTTTCAGCGGTAAAGGCACCCTAATAAAGGAATAAGTCTCAAAATTTTCAAGTCAAAATTTCAGTAAGTTTTAATTTTTTTTTCAATTTTATGAATAATCGTTATTTTTAAGTGGAAAAATAAAACTCAATAATAATTATTATCTCTGAGCGAAAAAATAAAAATCATAACATAATCATTATTCGTGATTGAAAAAAAAATAAAACTCAATTATAATTAATATTTAAGAGCGAAAAAAATTAAATTCAAAGAGTAATGATTAAATGCTGATTTATATTATTTTGCTCATAATGATTACCGGGACGGTTTATAACTAATTATTTCAAAAAAATACAACAAGGGAGATAGAGGGGAGAGTTAGTTAGCATGGAGTTCCTGAGGGTAAAACGCATTTTTTTGTAATTATTTTCCAATGATCACAAAACATTGCAAAACTTGTTTTTCAAAAACCTGGTTGCGACCACTAAAAATTATGTTAAAAATTTGAAATTTTCGTGATGTCTTTATTTGGTATGAAGAACAAGAGAAATGTGTGGTTCATAAAAAATTTAGATATTGCAAGGACCACCCTAATATACATACATATGTACATACATATGCATGTAACGAGAAAAATATAGATACATTAACGGACCCAGCGATAAGTTTTAAAAAGAAAATTAAAACAAAAATCACTTCACGGCTAATCTGCTATGAGGGAAATCTTAAAATTCCCAGGTTTTAACAACACACTTCAGCTAAAGTTAAATTTTAAAAATTTATGAAAAAAGAAACGCACAAATGATAATTATATATAACTTAATTGAAGAGACAAAAAAGGAAGGACTTAAAGCTCTTTTGGTGTTTTCAAAAAGAATCTTCAAGGTCATTGAAAATTCATCACCGGACGATATCTTGCACTGTAGTCATTTCTTTTTGAATACTGCGAGATAAGTATAAAAAAAAACTCGTTTTGCGGGACACAGCGGGGCCCAGGGAATTGGAAAAATTATAAACCCACAGACCCATCCTACGAAAAACGAAACGCTCGATATTGTATGTCAGACATAATTGGCTGAGGAACATACATATTGGAATAAAGTTCTTGTACAGAATATGGATGGTAAAATGATGCTGACAACGCGTAAACGTGATTTAAAAGTAAATATAGAGCATTAAAGTAAAGGCAATTTTCTTGATATCATTGCTCTTTTAGCTAACGACGACTTCTTACGTACTATAACCACACAAAATGCCCAAAAATACCTAAACATAAAAAAGAGATTATATTGGCTGGATCCGTTTAAAATAGTGAAAATAATTTGATTTAAATTTAACACTAAAATATAAAATAAAACGATATTTTAATATTTTGAACTGAACAAGTTTTTATTGAAAATCATAAGAACACATAAACTTATTTAAAATTGAACAAAATTGAGTTTCTAAAACATACAAATAAGCAAACTTAATATTCAATATGGCATTAGATAAATATCTAAAACAGTAAAAATTATATAGTTAAATTTTTTTAGTAAAAAAGGCATACCAACTCATTAATATCTTTAATATTTAATAAAAAGCTAGATAAGTTATAGAGCAAGTAGGTAACTATAAAAAAATATAAATTTGTTTAAAAAATTGCTTAAATTCCATTCACATCAGCATTTTCGAGTATGTAGATAATATATATATATTTATATATTTTAATAAACGGTATAAATTGTATGTGTATGCATACCATTGTTTCTTCATACTACTTATTTTGTTTTCTTGTTTCTATTCAATTTTTTTTTCTTATTTCTTTATTTTTTTTTTACTTTCTTAATTTTATACTTGTCGTTCAATATATGTTTTGTAATTTTCGCATGCGATTGTTTGCTTTCTCAATTATTTTTATTCTTTAATGAAACTTCCGCTTTTTACCGCCACGCTTTTTACCCTTACCCTTCAATTTGCGTTTTTTGCTGCCACCAGTCGAAGCTTCACCACGTAACGCCGGATCGCGACTAATCTCACCAAGTATCTCATCGCCAAGTGTACCTAAAAGAAGCAGAGAAATGTTGAATTAAAATGAAATCAGCTGCACTAAAATTCAAGTTGGCAATTCATGCTAAATTTTGCACACTCACCTAGCGTAGTCAACTTGCGTTGACGATGCTTTTCCGCTTTAGTCACCGGCAGGCGTGTCAAATAGGTTTCTTCATATTCCTGTTTTTCTTTTTGCTGCTTGGAGAGCAACTGTTGTGCGCGCGAGCCAGACGAAAGTTCCGTGGGTGCATCGAGATACTCCTCCTTTAGATCTTGTAGCATTGAGGCCCTTCAAAAGGTAGCATTACGTTAGTAAATAACTCTTTTTACAGAAAACATACAAGTGCAAAATACAAAATAGTCCAACAACTTACGTAATCGCACGCTTCTTGGCACGCTCAATCATTTTCTTATCCTTATCAGCGGACTTCTCATCGCCATCATAGTAGACTGGCTTAATTTTAGGCGGCACATATATGCCAGATTTACCCGCAGTAGCACCTTTCTTCGGTTTCTTCACGCCAGTCTCACCCTCGTCATCTTCATCATCACTTTCTGATTCGGAATTTTCTGTAGCATCTTCAATATCATCCACAGCATTCTCCTCACCGCCAGCGTTTGTAAGCATATTATCGGGATTGGGCTTATGGCATTGTAAATTAGTATTTACTATAAACTTAATCAATTGGTTTTAACTTACCTTATATAAAATTGGATCGGAACTACTCGATACTCCTGTGGTGGCTGTCTTCACCAATTTATCAATTTGATAGCGCAGCTTGTGATCGATGGGTCGTATCTTCTCCAATACCGTGCGTATTTCAATGAGTCGCTCAATGGATGGATCTCCTTCGATGGTTTCGCCGGAACATTTCCGCAAAACAACATATGTAAGATTTATCAAATAATCGAGTAGCATGTGATACTTGACCTCGAGAAAGCTTAGGCCATATTCTGTTGTTAGTTCTCCACGTTTTACACGCTGCAGCATGCTCTCTACCAGATCGGTGACTTGCTTAACATTGCTGTTCATTTCACCGAGCAGCTGTATGGCCTGTGGAATATCCTGTTGCTGCACATGGCAGTCGTAGTCGAGTGCCTGTAAATGGCAGAGGGGAGAAAAATTAACTTATTTTTGTAATATATTTTGTCATAAGAAATTTCTCTTTTAGCATCTGTCCGTTGGCAAACACCATTCTCTTTCACTCCATCTGCTGCTTCAATCTCGAGTCCATACATTCTATAGAAACAACAAACATTACTCTGTCACCTTTTACTCTTCATGTACATACATACGTATTTTTGAGATTTATCGCAACTCCAATTTGAATATCTTGCTCTCAAATATACTTTCAAATTTTGTCTTATAGCTATAGTTCATACTTCAAATACATACTCGCATACCACTTTCATGATCTAGTTTTTTCACAATTTGAAAATACTCGTTCATATACATATATAAATACCACAAAAAAAAGTTCGCCGTACACTCCTGAGTCCCAAGTAGAGATGGGTGCGGGACTTACTATTAAATCCCGCTCCTGCCTATCCCGACATTAAATTTTTAGGTCCCGAACCCTGGCTTCTCGAGGTTTTTCAGATTTGTACTGTCCCGTGAGACCTGATATACCATCCCTAGTTTGAAGTATTTTTGCAATGCAATTTCGAAAAAAAAAGATTTTTTGGCCGAACGCCCATGACATCTGGCGTTTTTTATAATACGGTTTTACCACGGCTAGGGATGAAACAATACGAGTAAATATATATGTACTTACTCGATACTTCAATCGATACCAAGTAATTTTGGCATCGATACTTTTGAACTAAGTACTAAGTAGGTATCGAAAAACAAATACTCGTATCGTACCTAGTGGGAGGATAGCTCTGTTATTGAAGAAAATAAACAAAAAAAAAGCTTACAAGAGTTGATTAAAAAAAAAAATCTTGAAAAAAAAATTAAATATTCCAGAAAGCTTAAACGCCAACTTCGCATATAGTTTGGAGAAAAGTAGATGTCAAATAGATAAATTATTCTATTTCTCGGTATCTAGATACTAGAAAATTTTTCATATTTTAAATGCTTTCAAGAATTTCTTTTAGTAAAATTTCTGTAGGTGGAATTCAACCAGGTGAAGTAAGTAAAAAAAATTTACCTTGTTTATACCTACGAAAAAAAAAACGCATTAACAAAAAACCGATTTGACTTAACACATATCTCTTTCAAGCGCTTATACCTGTGTCGTTATAGGTACTCGCTGAAACCGTATTCAAAAGTCAACAAAATTTATTGTTATTATTCGATGAGAACAAGAATTCTTATTTGTTATAATAACAATTCAAATTTAAAACGGACTGCATAAGAAAAAACAGCCGTCTTTTATTGCGCCTCAAATGAATGAATGTGTTTATACGTGTTTTCTAGCCGATATGAGAAATAATTTTTAGTAATTAGTAGAAGTAATTTTTAAACAAAAACCAAAACCGACCTCAATTCTTATATAAAAAATTAAGAGTACAGTTAATTTCTTAACTAAATTTGTATGGGACCGCCTTTCCTTTAAGATAAGAATTATCGGTTAACGTGGTCCAAAGTTATGTGGTAACATACATACAAAAAAACAAAAACCAATGTTCCGACGAATTGATTACCTTCTCCTTTTTTTGAAGTCGCTTAAAAGGCGATATGAAAACAAATTTGAGTCAATATACTTTTGAATTTCTGAGCGTATTGAAAATTGGTTTATGTTTCGCTTTATGTGTCAGTAAAAATTATTTCGAAACTATCGTATTTAAATTTTGGCTCATAATTTGTGTAAATAATAGTACATTTCCATTGCACTGAAATCTTTGGAAAACTTCTATTCTTGGGAAGTATAACAAAAATAGACCTTTATGAGGAAATTCTTTTCTTAGCGGAGATTAAATTTCTTGAAATCTTTTCCAATGAACTGTCTCTGATAAATACCATTGATCATTATGGGATGAACGCACTATTATTAACCGACTTCACAAATAGGAGAAGGTTATCAATTCGTCGGAATATTATATATTTTTTTGTTTCTGTATGACCGCATAACTTTGGACCACGTCAACCGATTCCTATAAAATATTTGTTTAAAGGAAAGGTGTTACCTCACAGGTGATTCCATACTAATTTGGTTTAAATCCGATCATTGGATCATGAAAAAATTAAATCTTAAATTTGTATGTGAGAATTCGGTTTTGTTTTTAACCGACTTCAATAAAGGAGAAGGTTATCAATTCGTTGGAATATTTTTTTATTTTTACTTATTTTTTTGTCTGTATGGCCGCTTAACTTTGGATCACGTTAACCGATTTCGATAATTCTTTGGTTTAAATCCGATCATTGGTCCATGAAGAAACTAACGATAATCTTAAATTTGTATATGAGAATTGAAGACGGTTTTTTTGCTTTAGATTACTTTTTTTTTTCTACAAACCTCAGATATACGTACATATGTATGTATGTGTAACGAGTACAGAAAATAATTTACATCAATATTCATTCAATGTAATTTTAAAATGACATTAGCTCATATTTTTGTTTAAAAATAATGTTTTGTCGAGGTTTTTTTCACCAAGCAGTCGTGTACGTCTTTCTTCTAGAATTCTGCATGACGCAGAAAAAACTCTTTCACTAGTTGCTGAGCTAGCTGGTATGTGTAAAATTTGCTTTGATAAGCTTCTAAGAGGTGGAAAATCTTTCTCCCAAAATTTTAAAATATCGTCACAGCTTTTGTTTTCTGATGTTTTCAAATAAATCTGTATTACCGCATTAATTTCTTCAAAAACTGTTTCTGCAGACTCATATTAGAAGTGTATACAGTAAATAAGTTAAACAATAGTAGTTTACGGTTTTATTTTGGTTGATAATACATATATCGTCGCTTGGCGAGCAAAATCCTCATATCCCCCAAATGCAATACCACGTATAAGATAGTCCGAAAATTTCAAAAAAGTGCGAAGAAACTTATTTCTTTAAAAACTTTTGAATGGTTTCCTAACTAAACATATTAAATATGAGCTTCTACTATAATTATTTACTATTCAATTTGTGAAGTAGGGAAGCGTTGAAACAGGGTAATCAAAATACTTTTTTTTTTCTATGCCGCCTCGTTGTACTGCGAGGTATTGCGCGCCAAACGACGATATATACATACATCATATGAGCACTAAACGTCAAAAAGATGTAGGCGACATTTTTTTTTTTTTTTAATTTTTCACGCCAACCAAAGTTTCAGTCTCGCACGATCACGGAAGTTACGTGATTTTTCTATCCAAACCACTTACGCTCACGCATGAGAACCCGTGTCACGTAGAAAATCACGTGTTTTGTTTATACTAAATAGAGAAACTGTAGTTTTCGTACTCACAAAAAGTGCCAGTTGTGATTTGTGAACTGGTTTCGATAAACTTCTGATAAAACTTAGAGACGACAGCAATTTGTTCGTAATTCGCATGGTAATTGGATCTGAATTACCAACAAATGAGGTAATTCGCTCTCAAAATTTTGTATGTATGCATGTATTGGACTCGGTCAGAATCACCAATAGCGCCATATAAGAAGCATGCCGATTTCTTTTTGAATTCAGTAACTTTTGTGATGATATTGGTAACAAATAAAAAATAATCGTTGTGGCAACACTGGTATAATACAAACACATTGAATGCTATTTACATTTATTTATTTTATTTGGCGAAATATACAATCCATTTAATTTGGACATATTCATTTACTGGTTTTTACTGACATTTTTTGGTAATCAGTTGATAGCCATTTTTAATAATCATACTTTATTGGCATATTTTAATAAATAATATTTTCCCTCAAAGTTATTATATATACGTTTGCAATCATTTTAATCTTTGTTTTTTTTTGACAAAACGTATCAAATATGCGTAAAAACATTTTTCATTACAAAATAACGATAATAATTAATTGGGAAAATTTTACGCTCTGATAATTTAAGCAATGCTTATATGCAAAAGATCTAATTAATGCGCATGCAATGCGAATTTATTTTTTTGGCTTCAATGCAATGCAGCGCTACATTCATGCATAATTTTTTAATCATTAGTTGCTAATCTAATGGCTCTTTCGATGCGTAAATTCCAATAAATTATTATAGCAATCTAATGAGTAGTTAATAAAAAAAAAAAAAACAAAATTACGAAAATGCGCTGTGACTTAAAAAATTGAAATAATATTTTGCGTTAATTGCATTTCGCTTGTCGGGCACCAAATTTGCATATAACATGAAATGAAATAATTCAAGTGAAAATAAAAACCAGCTAAACCGCATAAATAATAATAATATTGGAAAAAAAATAATGTTTTGCTAAAATGGCTGCAATTTCACAACGACACCGCAGAGTCGCGAATATCCTGGCATTTGAGTGCGGTTTATTAATATTCATTGGCGAGAAATTTGGCAAAAAAAGAGCGAAAAAAAAACTAACACCAGCATTTTGTGCACCCAAAAGCCTTATTAGGCATTTAAATACACATTCGGATAGGAATTAGTTGCTGGCTGGTGGTCAACGCTGCATGGCAACCAATAATGCAAAGTGCGCAAGCAAACACCACCAAAACTAACAACAACAATCAAAGCCTAAATTACAAATGCATATTATTAAAATACATATAAAATTTTTTGCTTTGTGGCGCAATAATAAATTAAAATTTATAAATATAAAATCAGCAAAATATGCAAACTGACAGCAGCAAAAAGACAGTGTCGACAAATATTCTGCAAATAATGGTTAATTCTGTATTTTTATTTGTATGAATTTGTATGTCTATTAATATATGTATGTATGTATGTACATTAGGATGGTCTAAAAAAAATGCATGTGTTTAAGTAAAGTCGGAATTTTAATGCTCTCACTCCCTAGGATTGTTCTATATTGAAAAAATTATACCGCTTTTTTTTTGAAATCAAAAAATATTTAGAGGTCCTTCAAAGCGCCCTAAATTGTCCATATATTTTATTTGGGGGAAAAACAGTTTTCGTAGAAATGGTATAGAATTCTTGAAAATCAATATTTTACGATCGGAAAACTATGTTTCCCTTCAGG